TGTGTCTCCCCCTCCAACACTGGTGGTGATGTGTGTCTCCCCCTCCAACACTGGTGGTGATGTGTGTCTCCCCCTCCAACACTGGTGGTGATGTGTGTCTCCCCCTCCAACACTGGTGGTGATGTGTGTCTCCCCCTCCAACACTGGTGGTGATGTGTGTCTCCCCCTCCAACACTGGTGGTGATGTGTGTCTCCCCCTCCAACACTGGTGGTGATGTGTGTCTCCCCCTCCAACACTGGTGGTGATGTGTGTCTCCCCCTCCAACACTGGTGGTGATGTGTGTCTCCCCCTCCAACACTGGTGGTGATGTGTGTCTCCCCCTCCAACACTGGTGGTGATGTGTGTCTCCCCCTCCAACACTGGTGGTGATGTGTTCCCCTCCAACACTGGTGGTGATGTGTGTCTCCAACCCCCCTCCAACACTGGTGGTGATGTGTGTCTCCCCCTCCAACACTGGTGGTGATGTGTGTCTCCCCCTCCAACACTGGTGGTGATGTGTGTCTCCCCCTCCAACACTGGTGGTGATGTGTGTCTCCCCCTCCAACACTGGTGGTGATGTGTGTCTCCCCCTCCAACACTGGTGGTGATGTGTGTCTCCCCCTCCAACACTGGTGGTGATGTGTGTCTCCCCCTCCAACACTGGTGGTGATGTGTGTCTCCCCCTCCAACACTGGTGGTGATGTGTGTCTCCCCCTCCAACACTGGTGGTGATGTGTGTCTCCCCCTCCAACACTGGTGGTGATGTCTCTCCCTCCAACACTGTGGTGACTGTCTCCCCCTCCACACTGGTGGTGATGTGTGTCTACCCCTCCAACACTGGTGGTGATGTGTGTCTCTCCCTCCAACACTGGTGGTGATGTCTCTCCCTCCAACACTGGTGGTGATGTGTCTCCCCCTCCAACACTGGTGGTGATGTGTCTCCCCCTCCAACACTGGTGGTGATGTGTCTCCCCCTCCAACACTGGTGATGTGTCTCCCCCTCCAACACTGTTGGTGATGTGTCTTCTCCTCCAACACTGGTGGTGATGTTTCTCTACCCTCCAACACTGGTGGTGATGTCTTCCCCTCCAACACTGGTGATGTATCTCCCCCCCAACACTGGTGGTGGTGATGTCTCCCCCTCCAACACTGGTGGTGATTCAGTCTTGCTAATTGACGAACTACACATTACCAGTTATGATGTAATTCGAGCTATAAGAAAAGTTTCACTTACTGAGTTTACATAAAGTCTTTATTAGTTGATTGTAAACTGGAAGTGTGATGCAGTAAGAGGCCTCACCAGGGTCTACCTCACTGCTCTCCCTAGACTTATTATTAAGATCTTTATTGACAAAATTAATTACAATTTTGCCTAATCTGAGGATTTCAATTAAGTGTTATTAAAGTGAGGATAATGCTGGTATTTACTGTCACGCAGGAGAGAGGGTCCTACACAAGACAATAGGTCTAAACTAGCACATATATATATCATGGTTACAATGTTTAGATGTATGAATATGTGAAAACTTTCTATTGTGCACTGCCACACATGCTTGCACTCACCTCAAAGTGACACTCAACATTTGCAACTATAGATGTAGGTCCTGCTGGTGTTTCACCATATATAGGGATGTCTTGGCCGTTCAATGGCAGTAATCAAAATGACGCCATTATAATATTCTGTTCTTACAGACATTTTTAATGAGAATGTTCCAATAATTTACGAGAAATGTATTAATAATCAAGGGTGACCTACCTTGAGCGATATCTTGTGATGATTTCGGGGCTTAACGTCCCCGAGGCCCGGTTCTCGACGGAGAAGCTCTTAACATTTCAGGTTACACACTTGAAGGTGTGTATTAGTCTAGGAGGAGAGCGGATACCCGCCAAACACACGACGTTGTTACAACGTACAAACAAGGTTTAACACCTGACAAATTGTAACAACCAATATAGCAAGTTGTATCTAATACGTCATAAAAACGTTATACCAAGATGCAACGACTGTATTAGTTGTAACAAGCTGCGAATAGGGAGAATTGCGTTAGGTGTTTGCAGGGATGGCAGACGGCTCAGGGTGGACGGCCGGGTGTTCATGCGGGTCCCACAGGGACGACTGGTCGTGGACACTCAGGTCCCGCCAGAGAACAGTCAAGTGACTGGTGGACAGTGACTGGTGACCCTTCACTGTGTGCTTCCTTCCTGACTGAGGCGCCTGTACTGATAGTGAGGACGTGCTGGTATGAAGCGACCGATGTCCGGCGGAGTTAGGACCGAGAGTGGGCCGCCCAAGTGGAGGCGACGAGCGTGCCTGCATGCTCTGAGGTGTGTGACGCCATAAGGCAAGATAAAGAGTAGCCACGATAGCCACGTATGGCTGCGTGTTGACATGCGGGAAGCAAGGCGGGTGCGGTGAGCCAGGTTGCAGGGGGACGCGTCACTCACCCTTGAACACAGAGGTCTGCTCGCTCCGAGGCACACACTGGGGAGTGGCTACAGACGTCACTAGTGACTGCGACGCTGTAACGAAAAAGACAAGATAGCAATGGTTGGTTTTGGCGGGAATGTCATTGGTGAATGTCTATACCGCCCGCGGGTGACCAGCTGGCTGCGGGACCCGTCCGCGGGTGACCAGCTGGCTGCGGGACCCGTCCGCGGGTGACCAGCAGGCTGCGGGACCCGCCCGCGGGTGACCAGCAGGCTGCGGGACCCGTCCGCGGGTGACCAGCAGGCTGCGGGACCCGTCCGCGGGAGACCAGCTGGCTGCGGGACCCGTCCGCGGGTGACCAGCAGGCTACGGGACCCGTCCGCGAGTGACCAGCTGGCTGCGGGACCCGTCCGCGGGAGACCAGCTGGCTGCGGGACCCGTCCGCGGGAGACCAGCTGGCTGCGGGACCCGTCCGCGGGAGACCAGCTGGCTGCGGGACCCGCCCGCGGGTGACCAGCAGACTGCGGGACCCGCCCGCGGGTGACCAGCTGGCTGCGGGACCCGTCCGCGGGAGACCAGCTGGCTGCGGGCCGTCCTGCGGTTCTAGGAGAGGAGCCGCTACCCACCCGCTGCTACCGCGGGTGAAGACAACCCGTCCACACGCACTATACACTACCACCAGCACCCACAGTTTACACCCCGGTGTAAACTGTGTACTTTACACCCCACCGCCAGACACGCCAACATATCGCGCTCTTTCATTTGTTTATAAAGAATTATTTGTGTTATTTACCGAGAGAGACGCCAAGAAGAGGCGGGAAAGTGGAAGCAAGGACACAGTCACTAAGAGTGACAAGGACAGAAACAAAGACTCCGGCAAGGAGGTGAGAAACAAAGACTCCGGCAAGGAGGAGAGAAACAAAGACTCCGGCAAGGAGGAGAGAGAAACAGAGACTCCGGCAAGGAGGAGAGAGAAACAGAGACTCCGGCAAGGAGGAGAGAAACAAAGACTCCGGCAAGGAGGAGAGAAACAGAGACTCCGGCAAGGAGGAGAGAAACAGAGACTCCGGCAAGGAGGAGAGAAACAAAGACTCCGGCAAGGAGGAGAGAGAAACAAAGACTCCGGCAAGGAGGAGAGAAACAGAGACTCCGGCAAGGAGGAGAGAAACAAAGACTCCGGCAAGGAGGAGAGAAACAAAGACTCCGGCAAGGAGGAGAGAAACAAAGACTCCGGCAAGGAGGAGAGAAACAAAGACTCCGGCAAGGAGGAGAGAAACAGACTCCGGCAAGGAGGAGAGAAACAGACTCCGGCAAGGAGGAGAGAGAAACAAAGACTCCGGCAAGGAGGAGAGAAACAAAGACTCCGGCAAGGAGGAGAGAAACAGAGACTCCGGCAAGGAGGAGAGAAACAGAGACTCCGGCAAGGAGGAGAGAAACAGACTCCGGCAAGGAGGAGAGAAACAAAGACTCCGGCAAGGAGGAGAGAGAAACAAAGACTCCGGCAAGGAGGTGAGAGAAACAAAGACTCCGGCAAGGAGGAGAGAAACAGAGACTCCGGCAAGGAGGAGAGAAACAGACTCCGGCAAGGAGGAGAGAAACAGACTCCGGCAAGGAGGAGAGAAACAAAGACTCCGGCAAGGAGGAGAGAAACAAAGACTCCGGCAAGGAGGAGAGAAACAAAGACTCCGGCAAGGAGGAGAGAAACAAAGACTCCGGCAAGGAGGAGAGAAACAGACTCCGGCAAGGAGGAGAGAACAGACTCCGGCAAGGAGGAGAGAGAAACAAAGACTCCGGCAAGGAGGTGAGAGAAACAAAGACTCCGGCAAGGAGGAGAGAAACAGACTCCGGCAAGGAGGTGAGAAACAAAGACTCCGGCAAGGAGGAGAGAAACAAAGACTCCGGCAAGGAGGAGAGAAACAAAGACTCCGGCAAGGAGGAGAGAAACAGACTCCGGCAAGGAGGTGAGAAACAAAGACTCCGGCAAGGAGGAGAGAAACAAAGACTCCGGCAAGGAGGAGAGAAACAAAGACTCCGGCAAGGAGGAGAGAAACAGAGACTCCGGCAAGGAGGAGAGAAACAGAGACTCCGGCAAGGAGGAGAGAAACAGACTCCGGCAAGGAGGAGAGAGAAACAGAGACTCCGGCAAGGAGGAGAGAAACAAAGACTCCGGCAAGGAGGAGAGAAACAGAGACTCCGGCAAGGAGGAGAGAAACAGAGACTCCGGCAAGGAGGAGAGAAACAGACTCCGGCAAGGAGGAGAGAAACAAAGACTCCGGCAAGGAGGAGAGAAACAAAGACTCCGGCAAGGAGGAGAGAAACAGAGACTCCGGCAAGGAGGTGAGAAACAAAGACTCCGGCAAGGAGGAGAGAAACAGACTCCGGCAAGGAGGAGAGAAACAAAGACTCCGGCAAGGAGGAGAGAAACAGACTCCGGCAAGGAGGAGAGAAACAAAGACTCCGGCAAGGAGGAGAGAAACAGACTCCGGCAAGGAGGAGAGAAACAAAGACTCCGGCAAGGAGGAGAGAGAAACAGAGACTCCGGCAAGGAGGAGAGAGAAACAGAGACTCCGGCAAGGAGGAGAGAAACAAAGACTCCGGCAAGGAGGAGAGAAACAAAGACTCCGGCAAGGAGGTGAGGAACAAAGACTCCGGCAAGGAGGAGAGAGAAACAGAGACTCCGGCAAGGAGGAGAGAAACAGACTCCGGCAAGGAGGAGAGAAACAGACTCCGGCAAGGAGGAGAGAGAAACAGACTCCGGCAAGGAGGAGAGAGAAACAAAGACTCCGGCAAGGAGGAGAAAAACAAAGACTCCGGCAAGGAGGAGAGAGAAACAGAGACTCCGGCAAGGAGGAGAGAGAAACAGAGACTCCGGCAAGGAGGAGAGAAACAAAGACTCCGGCAAGGAGGTGAGAAACAAAGACTCCGGCAAGGAGGAGAGAAACAGACTCCGGCAAGGAGGAGAGAGAAACAGACTCCGGCAAGGAGGAGAGAGAAACAAGACTCCGGCAAGGAGGAGAGAAACAAAGACTCCGGCAAGGAGGAGAGAGAAACAGAGACTCCGGCAAGGAGGAGAGAGAAACAGAGACTCCGGCAAGGAGGAGAGAAACAAAGACTCCGGCAAGGAGGTGAGAAACAAAGACTCCGGCAAGGAGGAGAGAAACAGACTCCGGCAAGGAGGAGAGAGAAACAGACTCCGGCAAGGAGGAGAGAGAAACAGAGACTCCGGCAAGGAGGAGAGAAACAAAGACTCCGGCAAGGAGGTGAGAAACAAAGACTCCGGCAAGGAGGAGAGAAACAGACTCCGGCAAGGAGGAGAGAGAAACAGACTCCGGCAAGGAGGAGAGAGAAACAAAGACTCCGGCAAGGAGGAGAGAAACAAAGACTCCGGCAAGGAGGAGAGAGAAACAGAGACTCCGGCAAGGAGGAGAGAGAAACAGAGACTCCGGCAAGGAGGAGAGAAACAAAGACTCCGGCAAGGAGGTGAGAAACAAAGACTCCGGCAAGGAGGAGAGAAACAGACTCCGGCAAGGAGGAGAGAAACAGAGACTCCGGCAAGGAGGAGAGAAACAGACTCCGGCAAGGAGGAGAGAAACAGACTCCGGCAAGGAGGAGAGAAACAGACTCCGGCCCGCAGGAGAGATACAGACTCCGGCACGGAGGAGAGAAACAGACTCCGGCAAGGAGGAGAGAAACAGACTCCGGCAAGGAGGAGAGAAACAGACTCCGGCAAGGAGGAGAGAAACAGACTCCGGCAAGGAGGAGAGAAACAGACTCCGGCAAGGAGGAGAGAGAAACAGAGACTCCGGCAAGGAGGAGAGAAACAAAGACTCCGGCAAGGAGGAGAGAAACAAAGACTCCGGCAAGGAGGAGAGAAACAGACTCCGGCAAGGAGGAGAGAAACAGACTCCGGCAAGGAGGAGAGAAACAGACTCCGGCAAGGAGGAGAGAGAAACAGAGACTCCGGCAAGGAGGAGAGAAACAGACTCCGGCAAGGAGGAGAGAAACAGACTCCGGCAAGGAGGAGAGAAACAGACTCCGGCAAGGAGGAGAGAAACAGACTCCGGCAAGGAGGAGAGAAACAGAGACTCCGGCAAGGAGGAGAGAGAAACAGAGACTCCGGCAAGGAGGAGAGAAACAAAGACTCCGGCAAGGAGGAGAGAGAAACAGAGACTCCGGCAAGGAGGAGAGAGAAACAGAGACTCCGGCAAGGAGGAGAGAAACAAAGACTCCGGCAAGGAGGAGAGAAACAGACTCCGGCAAGGAGGAGAGAAACAAAGACTCCGGCAAGGAGGAGAGAGAAACAGAGACTCCGGCAAGGAGGTGAGAAACAAAGACTCCGGCAAGGAGGAGAGAAACAAAGACTCCGGCAAGGAGGAGAGAAACAAAGACTCCGGCAAGGAGGAGAGAAACAGACTCCGGCAAGGAGGAGAGAAACAAAGACTCCGGCAAGGAGGAGAGAGAAACAGAGACTCCGGCAAGGAGGAGAGAAACAAAGACTCCGGCAAGGAGGAGAGAAACAAAGACTCCGGCAAGGAGGAGAGAAACAAAGACTCCGGCAAGGAGGAGAGAAACAAAGACTCCGGCAAGGAGGAGAGAAACAAAGACTCCGGCAAGGAGGAGAGAAACAAAGACTCCGGCAAGGAGGAGAGAAACAGAGACTCCGGCAAGGAGGAGAGAAACAGAGACTCCGGCAAGGAGGAGAGAAACAGAGACTCCGGCAAGGAGGAGAGAAACAAAGACTCCGGCAAGGAGGAGAGAAACAAAGACTCCGGCAAGGAGGAGAGAAACAGAGACTCCGGCAAGGAGGAGAGAAACAAAGACTCCGGCAAGGAGGAGAGAGAAACAAAGACTCCGGCAAGGAGGAGAGAAACAAAGACTCCGGCAAGGAGGAGAGAAACAGACTCCGGCAAGGAGGAGAGAGAAACAAAGACTCCGGCAAGGAGGAGAGAAACAGAGACTCCGGCAAGGAGGAGAGAAACAAAGACTCCGGCAAGGAGGAGAGAAACAGACTCCGGCAAGGAGGAGAGAAAGACTCCGGCAAGGAGGAGAGAAAGACTCCGGCAAGGAGGAGAGAAAGACTCCGGCAAGGAGG